TGCACAACTCTCCAGAGCGCAGAATTTGCCCCCAACTGTGAACATGGTAGGAGTAATAGGGTTACACTCACCTTATCTCTTATATCATGGCCAATTCTAAGCCATTTAGGTAGCTAGGATAATTGGATTACCCCCTTAGCTCAGCACAATTCATTAGACCTCGGTATTTGAATCTCTGCAGCTAAAGAAAGCTTGGCTCTTTCCTAATAAATCCCAATTGTGAGGCTTAACGAGTTCATGACGAAAGCAGACTACAAACATTTGGAACTAAAGCACGGCATTTCTGACACATGTGCTATATCTGTATAAACGATGCCGTATCCTCTCTGCTAAAACAATCTCAATGCTAAGAATCGTAATATCTCAGGGCAATGCTAATGCCAAAAACATTCCTCTTAAGATGTGTCCCGTCTAAAGGCTAACAATATATATGACAAAAATAACACCAAGTTAAGTTCAGCCTGGATAGCTCAGTTGGTTAGAGGGTGGTGCTGATAACACCAAGGTTGCAGGTTCGATCCCTGCACGAGACCGCTGCCTATTCCTGCATTCCAATTCTATGATTCTGTGAAAATGAAATTTGTTTATGTGCCTTGCATTTGCACATTGTGAATTCCTGCTGTAGTTTCTTGAAGAATTGTGTGTGTTTCTGTTGTGAAACCCAAACTAATAACAGCTTTAGCTATAATGCCAGTAATTCAGATCCAGACTACCTCTTTTGAGGCACATCCAAGCACTGGGGCAAGCCTGGCTCAGGGCACAAGTCCCTTTCAAATGTCTCATCCTTTCCAAAAGGAGTTTTCCACATGGCATGGTGTGTGTGGCTTGAACAGGAAGAAATAACTGCCCGCTTTTCTGGGTCATGGCCAGAATTTGTATTTGAGGTGGTGCTGGTGGCGAGTATTCAAGAGAATACAAGAACCCTTTCCATAATTCAAATCCAGGTCAACTGTGGGAGTCTAATCTAAAGCAGACAAGAAGCTGGCTAGCCTCTGCTCTGGATTGAAAAATGTTTCGAGTTGTCATTGCTGGAAAGTGAAGTTGCGAGAAGGTACAGACATGAATCCTGGGATATGGGGAATGTCCGTTGTGAAAGACTATTTGCTCTTTTCATAGCGAAACACTCTAATTGAGATATACAAAAGTACAAAATGAGCTTTTCAGTAACTGAGATTACTGATTATAGAGGACCACCATATAGTAGCTACTTTGATAAAACAAATTCAGACAAGAGAAGATCTAAGTGTTATGGAATAGAAGTAGCTTTAATCTGCTTTTTTTTTTTTTTTGTTACAAACACTAAATGCTTACTGTATCTGAGTATAATTAACTTTTTGCAGAATCAACATGTGTTTTCCCAAGTAGCTCAAGGGTCTTGGGTAAAGAGATAATAAATCTCGTTTTACAGAGAAAAATAACAACTCAGTTGCATCAGTCAGACTAGCAAGTGACAAGTCACTGTGACCGAGCTCTGCTGGGATTTGGACACTTGGAGGAAGCACTGAAGAGAGTTCTTGATGCTTAGATGCTCCACTCCAAGATTTGTCCCTGAGCCAAGAGCCCTGGTGAGATCAGTTTCAAGATGCCTAGTGTGGGGAAAGCCATTGGCAGCCAACAGAAAACCATAAAAGGCTGTGAAATTGATGGCTTTCAAAAGGTGGGAATGTCTGTAAAAATCAATGACGCCAGAAGAAAAGAAGAGCCGAATTGTTAGAGGAAAGATAAAATGCAGTGTGCTTCTCAGTAAGAAAAGTAACAAAGATGGAAGGGCCTGTTCCTCGGTGTTAGCTACTTAGCATTCAGTGGTAGACTATGAGAACCAGTTCTGGGACAACATGTTGCTGCTTCATTTCTAGGAAAGTAGAAGCAAAAGTGGGCCATAACATCTGTGCTTCACAGATGAAAATACAGCTGAACAGGGCAAAACACAGCCCCAACTTCTGTGAATCTCTCCATCCCAATACACTCTAAATCTGAGGTGGCTAAACCTGAGCCAAGGATCTGGCCCAGCCAAGGACCTCACTGATTTTGCAGTATGGCGGGCAGAGAAAGCCCAGAGGCCAGATGGGGAACAACATTTCCCTCATCAGTTGAGTAGGGAGAGGGAATTGTTGCCAGAGCAGCTGAAGGTGGAGGGCTGGGGGCTGGGGGGGGAGAGTTGTGAGTAGGTGTAAGTATAATGTTTTAATTGACTCTGAAATTGAGAATGTCTGAATGTATCTTGCTAACACTGGCTGCATCCTGAGAGCTCTCTGAGCTCTAACTAGTTGATAATTAACTGAGGGTTTAACTTTGATGAAGGCATTCAGTTGCAAATTTGCCATCTTGGGAGAGTTGTGGCTATTTTTCTTTGTTTCCATGCTCCATGGGAGAAGGAAGTGTAACAGTGTAACAGGAGCTCAGGCTAATGGAACCTATGTGTGTGTGTGATAGCTATGTTTGTCAGCTCTGGTTATAAGTTATTTTATTTCTAAGAAGATGAACCTATGCCTTGGACGGGCATATGTCTTATGGTATTATGTAGATGTATCTTCCATGTTTTTTGTACCTGTTTTGAAGAAGTTCTGGTTAGTAAAGCTTTGAACAATATTTGTGGGTCTGGACAATGTTTTGTTCCAAAAGGAGTCAGGTTTTTATGCACCCAGTTGCTTCAAGCTGTGCAATATTAATATCTGCAATAAGGTGACCACACCAAACGTCACCCCTGAGCCACCAGAGGGCTGTCCAATGATGAATGTGGCACTCAGGCCAAAAAAGTTAACCCACCAGCTCTAAATAGCAAAGGGAATCAGGATTGGGACCATGGCATATTGGTAGTGGATTAATCCCACCATAGTCAAGACAACTCCCACTGATATAATGTTAACTGTTGGAGATGTGAGGTACTTTCCCTCATCCTTGGCTCCAGAATTCAGTTCACACTGGGCTTAAAGCCCCAGGTGTCTTCATGGCTTTTCTGAACTCCAGATTCCAGTTCAGAACTTGGAAGCAATTGTGGATAAGCATTAAGATGTACACATTTAATGTGCAATCAAACAAATGAATAAGACGCTATGCTGGAACTGGTCTCAAGTTTTCACAGTGTGAAACAGAACTGAATCTTAAGTAAAACTTGCATTGAGATCTGAATTTCTGAATGAATTGAATTGCTTGGTTGTAAACTGGAAAACCCAGTAGTGATGTATGGAAGTGAGAGCTGGACCATAAAGAAGGCTGATCGCTGAAGAATTGATGCTTTTGAATTCTGGTGCTGGAGGAGACTCTTGAGAGTCCCATGGACAGCAAGAAGATCAAACCTATCCATTCTGAAGGAAATCAGCCCTGAGTGCTGACTGGAAGGACAAATCCTGAAGCTGAGGCTCCAGTACTTTGCCCACCTCATGAGAAGAGAAGACTCCCTGGAAAAGACTCTGATGTTGGGAAAGATGGAGGGCAGAAGGAGAAGGGGACAACAGAGGATGAGATGGTTGGATAGTGTTCTCGAAGCTACCAGCATGAGTTTGACCAAACTGCGGGAGGCAGTGGAAGACAGGAGTGCCTGGCGTGCTCTGGTCCAGGGGGTCACAAAGAGTCGGACACGACTAAATGACTAAACAACAACAACAACAAAACCTGGAAAAATAATTAACAATTCACGGCCTCCAAAAACTTCAGCTATAAACAGTTGGCTTCAAGGGGAAATGTTCTTGGAGGAGAGAATCTGGCTTCTCATGTCACTTGCAGAGAAATAATTAAAGGACCCGGGTAGGCACTTTCAATGAGTGTAAATGAATTGGGGTTCTGCAGTTCACCCCATCCAACCACACAAGGACCCTGACAATGGGCCAGATCCTTACCAGGAACTGCTTCGTGGGCCAAATTTGATAAATGGGAAGGGCCACTCACCTGTCAAAATCCCTTTTACTCAAAACTTAAAGGGGAACAGGGAGGAGGCTTGTAATTTTTTTTATTATTTTTTTTACAAAAGACCAATGAATCTACTGGTCTGGAAAACCAGTGAAAGTAATTCCTTTTTAATCTTACCAAACTATTTTTGGATAGATGGGGTAAAAACCTATTTTGCCCAAATAGTATAGCCATAGTTTTGGTTGTTGTTGTTTTTTAATCAATGTATTTTTCTTAAACTATTTCTCCTTCCAGTTGTTCTGGAATGAGATAGAAAAGCTTTAAAAAGCCAATAAAAATAAGGAGAAAGAGAACTATACAATGGGGTGGAAGAACTGGGAAGCTTCAGATCAGTAGTTGCCCCGCTATGGTCTACTACAGGAAGAAAAAAAGTCCATAAGATTCTTGGTCTTGTTGTAGAAACTTAGAACAACTCTAGAAAGAGATCAGTTAGATCATGAATGCTTTCTCTAAATTGTACTTCTCATTTCCAGTTTGGGGGACAATCAGAACCAAGGTGGGTAGGCCTCCTGCAGTTTCATTAAAAGTGGTACTACATTTCTGCTTGCAACTTTTCAGAGACGGATAAAGCAGCATTGATCCTGCAGGTAAGATTTCAAGCTGTTTACAACTCATCAACAGAGGTTGTTCTGTTTTGTGCTCCAAAAGAAATCCGTTGAATCCTATGCATTTAAAACACATGCCTTGGAACCAATATCCAACCAATTAATGAACATAAAATGCAACAAGATTAACAGTGGGTGAATGGGATAGCTCTACAGCCTATAACTTCATGTCCATTTATGAATGATTGAACATGGATAAGATGCTCTGTGAAAACCTTTTTAGACTCATCAAAGAGGAAGGGAAGTAAGTATCCTTGTTTTGCAGCATGCTTTCTCTGAAACCTTGAACAGGAAAAATATGAAAACATTTCGTTGGGCAGGCATTTGACTCTTGCAATCTTGTGTTCTCCCTGTGTCAGTCAACCTGAGTCTCTAGTTTGCTCCTGGACACAGATTCTTACTCTGAGCCAAGAGTCACCCCTAAACCCCAGCTCTTGCCTTACTTCAGTGGCAGACGCTTCGAAGGAAGGTGTCCAATTCCTTATTTACCTGATTTCCAGATGGATTTACGTTCTCCTGGGATGAGGCTCGGCTCCTGCGTTTTGTGTGGTGGGGCTGATAGACAAGGGTCTTCTGCGCTCCCTCCATGTCTTCCTCGGAAGTGTCCAGATCAGCTGAGTACTGGGATGGATGCTGCTCGTCCCAGGGACGGCCTTTGGGAACAGAACAAGGCTGGGATTCAGAGCAATATAGACTCAAAACTCAAATCTTGTGTTTCAGGGCAATCTGAGCGAGATTACTAATTTCTAAAACTTTCTGGAAGAAGTTTCAATTTATTCACTTTGGCCTCAGATATGTTTACAAAAACAGGGGAAATAATAATAATAATAATAATAATAATAATAATAATAATAATAATAATAATTTCTTTATACCCCGCCCATCTGGCTGGGTTTTCCCAGTCTCTCTGGGCGGCTCCCAACAGAATTAAAAGCACAATAAAACATCAAACATTAAAAACTTCCCTAAACAAATCAAAAGCTGGAAGCAAATTAATTGCAAGGAATAGAATATTTCTATAGCCAGGTGCTTGTTGCTTGCCAGTTTTCAACCCAGAAAAATCAAAATATGTGAAAAGTGTGGCCATTATTTCAGGGGCAAACTAGATGAAAGAGATATATGTGATCAGATTATCTATTTCTTTAAAAGTTTGCAAGAGTGAGGGGAGGCTTAAAAACCCTGTCCCTGTGCTTTCCCACTTTCTTTGACAATTTGACCTATTAAGAGAAAGTTACATGTACTCCAAAGTTTTCTCTCATGGAGCAAAAAGCCACTTTGGGGATTGGGAGGGAGGGTAATGTTTATTGGGGAAACAGTGCTTAGATAAACCCCACTATGCTGCGAAGCACGCAGTCCACCCACTGGGCAATAACTCCTCTCCATTCATTGCTCCTCAATGCCCCATGCTAAGAAGCAGGAGACCAGGCTCACAGAAACTCCCACTGCCCTCAGTGACTAGCTGCCTATGCAAAACTCTCCAAACACATCACACTCTAGGGGACCCTTCTCAAGTTTGCTTAGATCCTCTGCGACTACAAGGGGAAGGCTCTTGTCACCAGTTCTGGAGTTTTGTCCCCGTATTTTCCACAGTAGCTCAGCCCTGGTTTGTTGCCGGCCTTTGAACTCTGAGCAGCATTACCTAACCAACAAATGAGGAACACACTGAGCCGCATTTGAGAGGCTGCAGGTGTCTAATCTCTGCTCCATGCACTTTTCCGTTTTGTTACCTTGTTAAGAGAAACCACATTAGGGATAATTTAGTTTCCAATAATCACATTTTCCAGATATTTATAGTAACTGTAAAGCACTGAACCCTGTGGCACAACAAAACCTTCTGAGAGTAACTGGACTGGGATCCATTTCCATAGACATTTTTACTTAAAATGCAAACCTCTGATGGACAATGTGAGCCTAGGAAGAAGAGATATCTTTGTCCTGCTACATGGCGTTCTGCACCTTGCCAAAAGGCGTAAATCAACGTGCCATCCCCAAGTGCCAAGAAAGAAGGTCTTCCATCTGCCAGAACTGTAGGCTGTTGGCGATGGCTTGGGCTTATGCTTTTGGAGTGTCTGTGCGATGAATTCATTCCAACTGCCCTTGTAGAAATGCACTTCAGATCAAGAGCTTATTGTGTGGGCCAACTTGTCTTGTCTGTACCATTTATGACTGGAAGACTGAATTGCATGCACCGCCACATGAGGGAGGGGGGCGTGTGCAGTTTATAGACCTGTAACAATTGCTGGTGTGGCAGCCTCAAAGTTCTAGCCAGCCTTGAACCATGAGGGAGAGGGAGAGGGGGGTTTCAGGAGGCGGGGAGGACTTGGGGTCTCTTCCAACTGGGCTTGGAGTCAGGCTTGGAGCTGGTTTGCTAGCATTCCCCATTTCAGCTGGGGGGGGAGTTCTAGAGAGTGGGAAAGGGAAATGCAGGAACTGGAGTTCTTTCACCTCACAGCTACCATCCCCACAATCCTAATCCCCCGCTAGGATACAGTCATACCTCTTGCTACGTTTGCTTCAGGTTAAATTTTTTCAGGTTGCGTCCTGCGACGACCGGGAAGTAATGGAACACGTTACTTCTGGGTTTCACCGCTCACACATGTGCAGATGCTCAAAATGACGTCACGCGCATGCGCAGAAGCGGCGAATCGCGGCCCGTGCTGCTGCGGGGTGCGTTCTGCTCAGGTTGCGAATGGGCCTCCGGAACGGATCCCGTTCACAACCAGAGGTACCACTGTACTTAGTGTATAAACTATCAGGGGCTTACCAATTCCCCTACAATTTATACTCCAAGTATCACTCCATCTGTCATTGCTTCCTCTCCCCTCTGCAAAACAAAATACTATTCAACATTACATACATGCCAGGAAACTCGAAGAAGGAGGAGAAGGAGAGTTTGGATTTGATATCCCGCTTTATCACTACCCTAAGGAGTCTCAAAGCGGCTCACATTCTCCTTTCCCTTTCTCCCCCACAACAAACACTCTGTGAGGTGAGTGGGGCTGGGAGACTTCAGAGAAGTGTGACTGGCCCAAGGTCACCCAGCAGCTGCATGTGGAGGAGCGGAGACACGAACCCGGTTCCCCAGATTACGAGTCTACCACTCTCAACCACTACACCACAGTGGCTCATAGATCCTTCTTAGGATGGACTTGGTGGTTTGCTTCTTCTTCTTCTTACATTATTTTAAATTTATTATTAACATTTTAATTTAGGGAGAAGTGCTCCCCCCAAGTGTTTGGGTACCACACCCTTATTTTTGGGAGGTCCCATTTCACTTGCAGACTGACAGACCCTTAACCAGCCACTTTTGCTATTAGGAGGAATGATGTGAATTAAACAGCTCCTGTGCATAGGAAACATGATGCACTCTAACCGAAAGGAAGCTGCTCTTGTCCTATCAGTTTAGGAATTTCTTTTCATGAAGGGAATATTTCATCATGCAGTTCCCCACAGTCTGAAGTATGGACAGCACAGGGGCAGTTTTGGCCTGGGATGTGTGGCTTGTCCTTTATCCTGGGGGACACCAACTTATCCCAGGCCTTGTGGCCCTGACACCTCCCTCTTCTTTGGCAAGCTCAGTGGCTGATAGCACAGCGGAGGAATGGTTCACAGTAACAGTATAACCATTTCAAAATGCAATTTTAAAAAGATTTTAAATTTTTATTTTTAAAAAAATCAAAAAACGAAGACCCCCTCCCCAGTGTAAACACACAAATAATACAAATTTGTTTCTCTCACTCTGATAATTTCAAGTAATATCTGAAGTGTCTTCAGAAAGAGGCTTTAGTGAAACGTCTTTCCTTTTTATTTTAATATATTGATTATATATAATATTGGCAGGGTGGGGGTTAATTTGTTTTTTCCACCATTTTGGCAGGGTGGCACTGAGGGTTTGCTGTTGCTAAGCATCATTACAGAAATCATGTTTGATTCTTGGAGAACTATGTTCTTCCTGGTCTTCTAGTCAAATGTATTTATGTAAATGAGAATAAATCATAACTACAGCAATGATCTGAAAATTCAAAAGAAGTTCACAGAGTCCATTGCAGCAGGGCTCATTTTAATAACGTATTAGTGTGGTATTTGTTCCACTTTGGCAGGAAGGATTCGGCAAGAAAGATCCATGTTGCTCTGCAACCATTTGCTAGGGATATGCCTGGTCATCCTCTGTATCCTCTGAGATACGTGATTTTTGCATGTAAATTAAAAAGGTAAAGGGACCCCTGACCATTAGGTCCAGTCACGGATGACTCTGGGGTTGCGGCGCTCATCTCGCTTTATTGCCTGAGGGACCTGGCATACAGCTTCCGGGTCATGTGGCCAGCATGACAAAGCCACTTCTGGTGAACCAGAGCAGTGCACAGAAATGCCGTCTAGCTTCCCGCTGGAGCGGTACCTATTTATCTACTTGCACTTTGATGTGCTTTCAAACTGCTAGGTTGGCAGGAGCAGGGACCGAGCAACAGGAGCTCACCCCGTCGCGGGGATTCGAACCGCCGACCTTCTGATCGGCAAGTCCTAGGCTCTGTGGTTTAACGCACAGCGCCACCCGCGTCCCTTGCATGTAAATTAGTTTCACACAAAAAGACAGAAATCTACAAAAGGCTATACTTTTAATATTTTAGTTTTTTTAAAAATAAACAGTGCTGAGAAGGCATTTTCTCAGGTGTTTGGCTACAGGAGAACCTACCAGCCTTGGGAGTTCTCTCGAGGCTTTTAGGCTGTGAGTTGACGGTCAGCCGAACTTCGGTGCTGAACTCCTGTTCGGGGGCCGGCAGATGCTGCCCCTGCTCCTGCAGGAGGTGGTGGAACGTGGCCGCCACGTCGGCTTCGGCAATCATCGATTCCCTCTGAGAGGGGTCTTCCTTGGCACCGGGAAATCCTGCAAAGCTCTAAGAAGAAACAGTGCCCATCAGCGTCAACAAGGAGGCAGTTTGATCTCTCATTGACAGGTAAGTGTCTGGAGGAGGGGCACTTCCTCAGTGTTGGTTATATATGTGGTGAATTGATACCACACCTGACTGAAATGATCTTTTTTTGCATGCACCCCCCCAAATCACGATGGGCTTGCAAAGGAGGAGGAGGAGGTTTCCAATGTGCAGCCACAGTCACTCTGGTAGCTGCCAAGAGGAAAAATACTAATTCCCACTTCATGTCTCAAAGTTAAAGGTAAAGGGACCCCTGACCATTAGGTCGAGTTGCAGACAACTCTGGGGTTGCGGCACTCATCTCGCTCTACTGGCCGAGGGAGCCGGCATACAGCTTCCAGGTCATGTGGCCAGCATGACTAAGCCGCTTCTGGTGAACCAGAGCAGTGCACGGAAACACCGTTTACCTTACCGCTGGAGCGGGACCTATTTATCTACTTGCACTTTGATGTGCTTTCGAACTGCTAGGTTGGCTGGAGCAGGGACCGAGCAATGGGAGCTCACCCCATTGCGGGGATTCGAACTGCCAAGCTTCCGATCGGCAAGCCCTAGTCCCAGTCTCAAAGTTGGGTGGCTGTTAAATGTATGAACAGTCTACACTGAAGTGTGCTTGAGTTAACATAAGGAGATCCTAAACAGCTTACCCAAAGCATGAATAGGACTGTATGAAGCTTTCTATGTAATACCTGTTTTACTGCCGTTGTGTTTCAAATAATTCCCCATGGGAAAAATCTAAACTCATATATGTGTGCGTGTGGTGGAAGTGATAATCTGTGGTGCTCCATCACTGAAGGCTGAGTCACACTTGCAACTCACTGCTTGATGCTACAGTCAGAAAGTGACAACAAACAAAAGCCTCCTGACATCTGAATCTGCTCTCTCACTATCTAGCCTATTTCCAACTTGTGGCTTTCACTAATACATTTCACAGGGCAGGCGAAAATGCTTATATGACAAGCTGGGCTAGCAAAGGTCAAGAAAATGAGAAGAATGAGGGAGGGGAGCAATTCTGAGGTGCCAAGGATGATGCAAGAGAGCAGGAAGGCATGCACACCACCGTAATACCTGAAGACCTTCATTCCCAGGAGAGAGTTGCTCAGACTGCCGGCGAGATTGAGAAGAATATTCCGAGTCCATTTCAAAATCAAAGGGATGGACAGACAGCAGGCGCTTGGTCTTGCGCATCTTAGAAAGCACAGAGAGTTTAAGAAACCAGAGTCCATTGTAAATACAGTTGATAGTGAAATATTTTCACAGGTCTCTTGGAAAGGTTAGTAACCATCTTGCTACTTTCCACACAGTACTCTGCAGGGGATTTTCCTCGCAGTTCCCTAGTTCTATGCAAGAGTTCAAGTCCAGCCCTATGGGATGCTTTTCAGGTCAATAAGGAACAGGGGCAGCTGAGGGCTATTCCATATAGATTTATATAGAAAACATGCAAACACTCCTTTGAAAACAATTTACTTCCCCCAAAAGGGCAGAAATAAGTTCAAACAAAAACATTCAGATCCAGGATTCTGCACTCTGAATTTGGAATTTATTCAAATGTTGATTTCCTTATACATATACTGAAATGCCAAAGCTGAAGTTAAAGACCTGAATCTGAGGATTTAACATTTCAGTGAGAATTTTTTCCTAACCTAAATAACAATTCTTGCTACAATAAATCATTTACATGGGTGAGGCTATCCTACTGGGCTCATGTCTAGGTCCATGACTCAAGATCATTCAACTTTTATTGGCTAACAGTCGGTCAGTCATTAATATACTTCAAAAGCTTTTGCACACTCCATACAAATGGTTATAGAAGGGCAAAGTGGTGGGTTTCCTTTTTTTACATTTTCCGTGGATGCAGAGGTATAATTTAGATTCTTCCTAGAGACTGTGAGCAGAGAAATGAGAGAACATCACCCAGAAGCCAGCTTGAGGCACGAGGCCTCCAATAAATGACTCCACAGGAAATGAGATTTATATCAGAAATCAAAAGCAGAAAGATCGCCTTTTCCCAGAGAAAAAGGAGTAATATCTTCATTCAAGAAGGCCCAGCGTGATATATAAACGAGTTCTCAGTGCTAACATGGAAGAAAGTCCATTCCCAGGTGCCCTTACCCTTGCATAGCACTCTGCTTCTCCACCATCGATAGCATCTTCTGCCTCTCCCTCCTCACTGTCCTCATTCCCGCTGTAGAAGTGACAGTCACCTGGACAGCAAAGAGATGGGCCCTCAGGTCGGTCAAATCAGGCATGTGAGGTGCACTCAGGAAGTGGCTGTGGCTTAGCAGGAGAATGCATGCTTTACATTCAGAATGTGTCAGCCATCTCCACTAGGAAGGGTATGAGCAGGAAAGACACAGGAATATAGGAAATTGCCTTATACAGAGTCAGACCATTGGTCCAGCCATGGCAGCAGCTCAGCATTTGAGAAGGCCTCTCTGCCAGTCCAGGAGCTGCTTGGCCCTGAACCTGGGATTGTCTGCATGCAAAGCAGATGCGCTTACAGCTGAGCTATGGCTCTCCTCCAAAGACGAGGAAAAACTTCTGAGATTTTGGGAAAGGGTTGCATATTGAAGGAGGCACCAGTGGTCTGACTCAGCATAATACCACCTCATCCTCATTTCTGATCATTGCTATTATAGATTTTTTTAATGCACAGCATTTGTTTCAATCCTAGGCATTTCACTCAGATGTAAGTTCAATGGAGCTCACTTTCAAGTACCGTATTTCTCGCTCCATAAGACACACTTTTTTCTTCCTAAAAAGTAAAGGGAAATGTCTGTGCATCTTATGGAGCGAATGCATGGTCCCTGGAGCCAAATTGCCCAGGGGCGAAAAGCAGATCATGCACTTTTTTTAAAAAAAAAAAAGAGGGAAGTGGGTATTGAAACAAAGCCGCTGATCGTTTGCCGATCGGGGAGAGAGATAAGGGATGCTAGAGATAAAGGAGGCTGCCTGGGAGGGGGAAGGTAAAGACAGCAAACTTGCAAAGGGGGGAAACAGGAAGACTAAAGCAATAAGGAGAGAAATTAGAAGAAAAGGAGGAGCAAAAAACTGCTCCAGCTAAGGAAAAGACACTAAGGCAAACAAGAGGGTTGAAAGGAAACAGCTGATCGGTGGGATCGGAAGACAGATAAGGAAGGCTAGCGGAGGCTGCCTGGGATGGGGGAGGTAAAAGCCCATGGATCCTCAGGATTTTTACATTGGGTCACCCCAAATTCACCATCAGATCACATAGCATGTCCATGGCTACAGCCTGCACCAAAAATATCACGCACCCACTGTTTCCTGGGGCTGAAATGGTGCAAAAACGTGGTTACAAAGCAAGGATCCACATGGATCCTCAGGATTTTTGCATTGGGTCACCCCAAATTCACCATCAGATCACATGTCTGTGGCCACAGCGTGAACCACAAAAATCATACACCCACTGTTTCGTTCAGAATATTTTTTTTCTTGTTTTCCTCCTCTAAAAACTAGGTGCGTCTTATGGAGCGAAAAATACAGTAAGTGGCTCAGATTGTGGCCTGAATGTTTGCTGTTCCCATGTTATGGGGATGCCAAAGCCAGTTTAGCCCCCTTCCTCTGTCCTTGACAGACCATAGCTCCGTGACAGAGCATCTGTTTTGCATGCAGTAGGGCAGGGTGTATAGGTTTGTTTGCTTGTTTTAAGCCACTTACTGTTGATGTCTGGCAAGCTATAAACTCTGTCATGAAGACCTAGAATAAGAAGAAAATGCAACATAAATACTTTTAAAACATGTTTTGCAGTAAGTCTGGTGTAGGGCTGAATAATTATCCCTTTGAGCATGTATGTACAATTGGTAAAGACAATTAAAAATAGCATCTATTATCAACCTGGAGCACCAGCTTAGACTGAAATCCAACAAGCTTGTGGTCACATGCAAGTTAGTTCCTGAGAAAATGCTGTATTGGCTTTGAGAGCAGCTACCTTTTGTAGGGATAATTCAGGTTTAGGTCGGCAATTCCTGTTAGGAAACAGTTACTTGTGCCTGATTTCTACTTAAATCAACATCCACTTACACATGTAATATGTATACAGGATATATATATTTATATCTCTGTAGGCTTTTCCTATAACCCGGTCTGCTAGCAAACACTTACAAAGATGTGGTGGAATAATAACTGGGGTCACCACAGTGCCAAAATGTGGAACATGACAAAGACATCTCCCCATCCTGCAACAGCATGGGGTTCCCCTGGTCCTGAGTTGATGCTATGGCCCCAGGACATCAGCATCAGGCTAGAAATGCAGCCCATGCCAAAATAGCATGGAGAACTGAGGGTGGTAATTTCAGCCCTGCATGAAGCCATTTGTATGAGTACAATATAATGCACCTGATACGTTATAACCAACTTTTGCAACAGACCCATAACCAAGGGGCAACAGAGCAGCGTGGATTTCCCTGGCTGGCTTTGCAGAGGATTCTGCTGTCACTCTGTCAGCATGCCAGAATCAGAGGGTGCTCTGTTAACCATCTTGATCTCTGCTTATTAAGATCCCAAACCCCAGATATCATCAGTCAAATGAAGGAGGATCTAATGTAAACGACCCCATCCTTGGCATGATTTTGGTATGATTTTGTATAAAACTAATGTGCTGTCATTTTAAAAGTGAACAGGGATACAAATTTCCCCAAAGATCCCATGCTGAAAACAAGGAAGACCCATAGAAACACCTTCTTCCTTAATGAACTCACTGAGCCAGAGGTTTCCAAATGTCACTTCTCATGGAGTGTGTTGTAAATGGCAGCTTGCCTTCACATGACAAACCTGCAAGACTGCCCAAGACTGCCATCTATTGGCCAGGTACAATTCAGCAAGGTATGAGCAATAGAAACAAAATGCATTATGCACACACATGCACACACTTTCATGCCTGATAATGTGCATGTATTCCAAAGTTAAGTCCCAGTGGTTAAGATGTGCTCCAAAGTTAAGAGTGCCTTCAGTTTCAGACATTAAACTCTTGCAGGTCTAAAGAGGGTGGGGGAATTAACAAGCATGAGAGAAAGAATCTGAGATTCTCCTAAACATATCATTATTGTTAAGTTTGTAGGTTTCCAGAATTGTTGTTTTTATATTACTTTCAATAATGCTGTTCATTATATATTCCATATTTTATTCTAATTTGCTTTAGAGTTCTTGGATAAGCAAGGAGTCTTCGTAAGTACATAGACAATAAACTTCCAGTGATGCATTTGGTAACACAAACTGTGAGGTCTTCATTACACAGTGGCTCCCAATGGGCTAGCCTACTGCATCAGTATTTGACAGATAGAAAAGGAAGATAGAGAGACAAATAGACAAAACAAGGCTTCATAGCCGGAAGCAAATGTTTCAGCCATTAGAAAGCTTTGGCCATATTAGAGAATGCTTCACTGGAATGAACCCTGGAGGTCAATGTGTCCCAGGAAAGCCAGCAGCAAGTCATTATGTTCCAGCTGCAGAGCAGATCTATTGGACTTGGTTCAAAGAATTCTAAGCAGAAGGAAAATAACCATTAGCAGTCTTCCACAAGGCTAAAAAGGTAGGACCTATAGTGATTCTGCTTAAGCAAGAGGCCAGTGGCGTAGCGTGGGGGGTGCAGGGGGGGCCGGCCGCACCGGGCGCAACATCTGGAGGTTAGGCAAATCCACAGGTTAGGGGGCGCAAATCCACAGGTTAGGGGGCGCAAATTACTTGCCTTGCCCCGGGTGCTGACAACCCACGCTACGCCACTGCAAGAGGCTGCACAAACTTCCACATGAGCAGAATAACGTATCGGGATCACTTTTCTTGCACAAGACTTAAGGATGAAATGTCCAGCCTTAAAGATGCAACACTGGCTATTTCTTAAGAAGGCAGGCCTGGAGGACAGTCAGGCAAAGAAAGCTTGTCCACACTTCTGCTTGTCCCACCGCTAAATCAGAACCAAAGTCAATTGTTGTTTTTTTGCAGATTGATGTTCTGATTCAACAGTGAGCTTTTCCTGGGGAAAGTGGTGGGACAAACCAAAAAACCACTCAGACCTGTGCCTAGAAAGGAAGGGAGAAGCAAAAGTGTGGATGAGCCCAGAGAGGCCTGTTTAGTTTGCATTTCTTCCATTGTCTCCTGAGACAGACGGATGCCAACAGTAAGTGTGTTCTGAAGTATCTCCCTCACAGCTGAGGGCCAAATGAGGCAAGGTGGCAAATATCTGTCATCAGACCTCTCATATCTTTAAATTTTGGCAAATTGCAGTTTCATCCAAGGTTGGGGCAATCTGGACCTGCATCACAGCAATGGGAATTAGCGGGTCTCAACCCTTTGTCCGGTCCATTCCCCCAAGTAATTCAGTCCCTAAATTGCCATTTGCTCTGTGAGGAAAAACATGCATGTAATGGTTGCTGTAGGGACGCGGGTGGCGCTGTGGGTAAAAGCCTCAGCGCCTAGGACTTGCCGATCGAAAGGTCGGCGGTTCGAATCCCCGCGGCGGGGTGCGCTCCCGCTGCTCGGTCCCAGCGCCTGCCAACCTAGCAGTTCGAAAGCACCCCTGGGTGCAAGTAGATAAATAGGGACCGCTTACTAGTGGGAAGGTAAACGGCATTTCCGTGTGCTGCGCTGGCTCGCCAGAGCAGCGATGTCACGCTGGCCACGTGACCCGGAAGTGTCTCCGGACAGCGCTGGCCCCCGGCCTCTTGAGTGAGATGGGCGCACAACCCTAGAGTCTGTCAAGACTGGCCCGTACGGGCAGGGGTACCTTTACCTTTTACCTTTAATGGTTGCTGTGCCATTTACGTTTCCCAAAAAATGGTGAACAGCAGCTTCATGGGAGGTCATTTTATACTACACTCGCTGGCAGGTGATGGTACACATTCATTTCTTTGGTCCGATTGTTCCCACTCATCGTGATTTTTAGAAGCACTACAAAAACATGCAAAGACTGTTCACTTGAAAACTGCAGAGAGATGAGTGTGTACACAACCTGACAACAATTGCTTGAAATAGTAATAGAAGTAGGAGAAGTTGTTGTTACTACCATTATTTTGTTCATCTCCAGCCTTGTTTCTATAATGTCTTATTTGGACATTTTGTTTTACTTGGCCTACAAAATTAAAACAGATCTGGGCAATCACCAATTTTTGTGTTTTCACAGATGGCAGCTCGGCCAGTCTTACGCATCTTGTTCCCTGTGGGGAACCTGATACCTGCATAGCTCCTAAAGAGCCTCCTTTGACTTTCTTCAACAGAGACCACCTTCAGATGCTCCAGGAAGATTTGCCATCGATCTCTCAATAGTTAATGTTAATGACACCCCTAAACACTAGATTGGTTGCTACCAGGAACTGTAAGCAAATGGTTCTGCCTTCAAAAATTGTTGCTGGATAAACTTTAAATCAACTGCAGTTAACTTCCAAGTGAGTGCCCCTAATTTTAGCATTAAGTGAAAGGGCAAACAGCTCATTGCAATTCACTTTTTCCAAACCGCTCACCAGTGGTGATTAATTTCTAAAAGCAAAGGTGCTGGGATTCAAGCCAGCTGAGAAACCACACTCTCTAACTTTGGAGCCACGTCACTCACTCCAAATGTGTGGGAACAGACTGTGGCTACTCAGATGTAATTATTGTGATTTGTGGTGACAGTTAATTTGGTACCCAGTCTAAACCACAGAGCCTCTTGGGCTTGGCGATCAGAAGGTCGGTGGTTCAAATCCCCGCGATGGGGTGAGCTCCCATTGCTCAGTCCCTGCTCCTGTCAACCTAGCAGTTCAAAAGCACGTTGACGTGCCCTCCGACGGGAAGGTAAACGGTGTTTCCGTGCGCTGCTCTGGTTCACCAGAAGCGGCTTAGTCATGCTGGCCACATGACCCGGAAGCTGTACGCCGGCTCCCTCAGCCAGTAAAGCGAGATGAGCGCCGCAACCCCAGAGTCATTTGCGACTGGACCTTTACCTTTACTACTCTGTGGAACCTTCAGAGTGCTGTATAGAAAGATACTGAGAGGACACCCCCCCCGACCCCTGCCCATACCAAGCAAGGTAGGATTCATTTTCTGTCCATGCGTCATCCTTCCGTAGAGCGACCGCATCACCTTAGCACTTCCAAACCGCTTAAAACGAGATTTCACATGCTCATAATACCATTCCACAGATCCAGTCTTCACAATCCTGTCCAGTAGGAGAAGAAGAAAAAAGGATTATGTACACAGGTATGATCCCAAACCTTCAATCAATTAAAACACACCTGTTGACTTTAGTGCCGTTTTGACTTCACCATACAAACACAAATCACACAAAAAGGTAACATTTCCATTGCTATGGAGCCAGATTAGCCCTGGCCTCTCCATCCCCATATTGACTGCTCCCTGGCAGGAGCAGCTGTTCATGTCCAGGGGCTCCTCTTCAGTTGTCTGTGCTCAATGAGTGGCTGTTGGGGAACATAGTTGGCCCAGCCATGGATGAAGCCCAGCTCCTTATTCTAGGCACAAGTAGTGTCCTGCATAGGTAACACAAGCCTAGGGATAAAACATTCTGAGGGAAGCAGGGAATTCAGCAACCAGTTTGTGGAATGAGAGAGAGAAAAGATTGGTGCTCGGCAACAACAGATTCTTCTACAGCACTAGTTGGCTGCAAGTGCTCCACCTCCTTCCATTAACCTTTCCACTTGGGCAGCCTCCTTGTGCAACACGGCACGCCAAAGGCTCCCTACTATAGGAGTTCATGCTATAGGGTGATGTGAGGGACTGGGTGGGATCAGCAGGTGTCCTTCTGTGCTTCCCCTCCCACCACTGTAATGGGGGAAAATACCCGAATATAAAGGCCTGTTGTGAAAACTAAAGAAAGCATCCTCAAGTCACATTGCTGGCAGATGAGTGCCTGAAGCTTGAGGGAATTGATGCTGGGGATTGAGAAAAAGCAGAAGTGAAATGAATTGCTAAGAGAGCATCTTACGTGCTGGCAGGGACGCGGACTTATAAAAAATATTGGGGGGGCCCGGGAAAGCTCATGAATAATAAATAAGCTCATGAATATGCAAATAAAGTGGCTCCGGCCCTAAATAGGGCAAGCCACGCCCCCCAGCCAGCCAATCGGCTGGCTGGGAGGTGTGGCCAGTCGGGATTCCCCTGTTCTCGCGGGGGCCAGGAGGAAGGAAATTCCTCCCGGCAGTGCCTTGGCAGTGGCGGTGGTGCTGCGAAGCAGCGAGGCAGGAGCCCCCGCTCCCGGGGATTCCCTAATCTCACGGGGGACGGCCGGGGCTCTCCGACTAGGGCGCGCGGCTGGCTGGCTGGCTGGCGAGGGAGCAGGTGGGGAGGAGGCGGGGGACGGCGGCGGCGCTCTGCTGGAAGGGCGCCCGAGATTATTGGGGGGGCTGAGCCCCCCAAAAAAAATTTTTGAGGGGGCTCGAGCCCCCTCAGGCCCCATGGAGTCGGCGCCTATGCGTGCTGGACTTTAACCCTGGCGCAATCCCTGTCTCTAGGCCTAACTTATTCCGCAGGGCTAGGGGAAGAAGATAGGTGTGTGCAGCTACCCTGAGCTGTCTAGGTAAAGGATGGGATAAAAATGAAACAATGACCATTTTATTTCGCCCGTTTTTGAAAACAGAAAAGTCAAACGACAACCGCAGCACCTCCCTCTTGCAACCACTCACCTGCCCAACCCTCCAACACCAGTTCAGTCCTGTTCTGGATATACTGGAATATTAAGTGGAACTTGAAGAAGGTTCACGCAAAGGAATAAAAAATGAAAATAAAATCATTTTGGGTTTTCTTTGTAGGGCTAGGCGGATAAACACTGAAACCTGTGAGAAATTCTAGTACCAGACAGAACCCAATCTCACATCTACTTTGGCCCACTACTATACAAACAGCAGCAGCAACAAGAATCTGCCCTACTTACCTGGATAAACGGCAAGGATCACACACCCAACCTTCCTCCTTTTTATTGTAGCTGCTACAATTTTTGCAGGTGTGTAAGTGGCAGTCTAAGCATTTGCGTTTGTTGTTCACCAGGAACTTGAAGGGCTGCAGGCAGTGAATGCAATGAGTTTCATTGAGGTGGGATTGACCGGACAGCAGCTCACGCTTTGTGCTTTCTTTTTCAATCTTGCCTTTCAGTTCCCTTTGAAAAAATGATAATAGGAGTATTTAGCACCTGAATATGGGAAGGAAACTTTGAGCAAAAAACAAAGGCTTCAAGATCTAGCCAGAAGGCACAGAAGAGAAGTTGGACGATTCTGCCCCAAATGTTGGTTCAGAACTCAACAAGAGTTCAACAAATGTTCAGGCTCCAACAAACGTTTGTATTCAGTTAATACTTAGCACATTTCAGGTGTTCAGAACTTTTCACATACTGTTTGAGTAATTCTTAACAACCAGACCCTCAGCAAGTTGATGGGTAAAGGACTAGTGAATTTGTGTCAGCGGTGGGATCTGAACTGGAAATCTCCTGGCTCTTCTACAATCCTCCAATTCTCACCAGTAACAAACCTGCACCTATCAAGGCTGGGACAACCTAGTATTTCCCTCTGGCCACTGAATGTATCTCTCTCACTGCTTCAGGGTGAGTGGTGAGCCGATGGCTTGGACTTTAAGAGAGCACTACATAGAATCATAGAGTTGGAATAGACCACAAGGGCCATCGAGTCCAACCCCCTGCCAAGCAGGAAACGAGTTCTGGGGAGTTCTGAATCTGGGTGGTAAAACTCATGGTGAAAACCTCCCAATCTGCCTCTGCCTGATTTTATATATTGGCTCCAGTGGTGATTGTTTAGGAACAGAGAGTCCAGATTAGTGGCAAACCATTATGGAACTCTGTCAAAACCCACACCCATCGTTCAGCTTCATGACTCGGAAAAACGTTATGGGTTTCCATTAAATAAATATAGTGCAACATCATCACTGTCTAAAGTATATTATCAAAGTATTCAAAGTACAAGCAGGCATATGTCCTCTGAAGAAGGCTTGGGAATCTGTCCTACATGACTGCTTTGGCTGCAGTAATAGCAATAATAATTGTATGATTCAGAGTACAGTACTCAAAGTACGTTTCATATAATTTCCTTGGTGTAATTGTAAAAGGGACGTGGGTGGCGCTGTGGGTAAAACCTCAGCGCCTAGGACTTGCCGATCGAAAGGTCGGTGGTTCGAATCCCCGCGGCGGGGTGCGCTCCCGCTGCTCGGTCCCAGCACCTGCCAACCTAGCAGTTCGAAAGCACCCCCGGGTGCAAGTAGATAAATAGGGACCGCTTACCAGCGGGAAGGTAAACGGCGTTACGTGTGCTGCACTGGCTCGCCAGATGCAGCTTGTCATGCTGGCCACGTGACCCGGAAGTGTCTGCGGACAGCGCTGGCTCCCGGCCTCTAGAGTGAGATGAGCGCACAACCCCAGAGTCTGTCAAGACTGGCCCGTACAGGCAGGGGTACCTTTACCTTTTAATTGTAGCCCCGCAAAGGTGACCAGTATTATTATCTTGATGTTACAGATGGATCCAACCAACCCCCTACAATCTGCCTCTGACATGATACCCTTTCTGCCCCACCCTCAGAGCACTTGGGGGGCATCTCCACCATCCCTGGGAGAAGGAATCCAAGGGCAGACCTCTCATTCTGATGGCTCCTGGGACATCCTCCAAGGGACCATTAAGATGGTACCTTAAAGCTGCTCACAACAAGAAAATAATCTACAGTGGTACCTCGGGTTACAGACGCTTCAGGTTACAGACTCCGCTAACCCAGAAATAGTACCTCGGGTTAAGAACTTTGTTTCAGGATGAGAACAGAAATCGTGCCCCGGCTGCACGGCGGCAGCGGGATGCCCCATTAGCTAAAGTGGTGCTTCAGGTTAAGAACAGTTTCAGGTTAAGAATGGAGCTCTGGAATGAATTAAGTTCGTAACCTGAGGTACCACTGTATAAAGAAGTTGCCTTGCAGTTTTGACACCCTTTCACTTTCCATAATTCTTTAGAAACCAAAGCTGTCAGTGACAATCCTATGGATGTCCGTCTCTTGCACGGTACTTCAACAGATTTTTTTCTTTCTTAGCTGAAAACAGAAATGCTCCAACCTGTCAGAAAGTGGCTGCACTGGGGCGTCATGATAAACCAGGGTACAATCACAGGGGTGGGGGACCTTGCTCCACCCAAGGGCCACATTCTCTTGTGGATAATAATAATAATAATAATAATTTTTATTTATATCCCGCCCTCCCCAGCCAAAGCCGGGCTCAGGGCGGCTAACAACAATAAAACAGTACAAAAGTACAGCATAAACAACACTCTAAAATCATTCATTATAAAATTAATTAATTCAAGCCACTGGCAACCATTGGGCCAGAGCTCCGCGAAGATTGCCGAGGGAGGGAGTCAGGCTGTGCCCTGGCCAAAGGCCAAGTGGAACAGCTCTGTGACCTTCTGGGGGCCACATGCCAGTCAAAAGTGGATGTGGCCAGAGCCAAAAAGTGGCTGAGCAATGGATGCGCTCTTACCTTTGCATGGTTTGATTCATTCCAACCATGCAAAAGTCGGGGTTTACAGACACTTGCACACCAGGGCAAACAAGAGGAATGGTCACCTTAAAGATAAGCAAAAGCAGGCTCTAGGTGGGGGGGGGAGTCCCAAGGGCTGGGCAGAGAGTCCTGGAGGGAGGCTGGATTCACCTGCAAGGCCTGAGTTCCCCCAATTCTGAGAAGGAAGCTTTTTGGAGCCTCTGGTTGACACACCTTCTCGCTCCCTTCCCCTCTGCTAGTGTAGCAATGTTTGGAAGCTTTCACTTTCACTTTTCATTATGGCAGGGATGGGAAACTGGATCTCACCTGACACCACATATGATACCAGGTGTGGGTCGTGGGCATAGTTTGGGGTTTGGAGAAGACAGCCTTGCAAGCCAAACTGGGACCTATGCTGATCCATGGCTTGCTATGTCAGCCTAACCTGTGGTAAATCTCAACTATGGTTTGCTTCATAGAACTGTAGAGTTGGAAGGGACCCTGGGGGTCATCTAGTCCAACCCCCTGCAATGCAGGAATCTCAGCTCAAGCATCCATGACAGATGGCTGTCCAACCTCTGCTTTAAAACCTCCAAGGAAGGAGAGTCCACCACTTCCTGAGGGAGACACTTTCACTGTCAAACAGCTCTTACTATCAGAAAGTTTGAGAGTGGAACAGAACAACCCTGCTGCAAACTATGGGTTGTGAAGCTGGCTTCAACAAGCCATAGTTAAGCTCTGAATCCTGTTGTAAATCTTAGCTAAAACTGCAGTTAATTTAAAATGGAAACTAAAGCTTTTGAACTTCTTCTCACAGCCGTGCTAGAAGAGGAGACGGGATGGAGACAGCAACAAGCCCAAGACTTGTGCAGGCCGGTACCTGACACACTAAACTATGATTTGTTTATCATGACATCCACATGCAGCCAATGTGAAAGCAAAACTACCCTAGAAACTCCACTTCAAGCAGAACACCCTTGTGTGGTGTCTAAAAACCCCTTCTGGTGAGGTTCGAACCAAAGTGAATGCCTTTGTACTGGATTATAGCAGGACAGGATCTGCCAGGCTGTGCGATAGGTTTCTGTTTGCTCTCAGAGCAAGCAGAAATAGACACGGCCCTCTGTTTGCCTTTGGGGCTACAAGTAAGAAGTGCAATGTTTGGTTAGTAGGATGGGCCCCTGGAGGCATGTAGGCAGGGCTGGAAATTTTTCACCTAGGGAGTAATTAGCAATGCTTTTTGTGGTACATTAACCGACACACACCTTTTTGAAATGTTTTCTCTTCCTATTTAAGGCTGTGTCTGGGAGTGTGACCAGCTACGGAAACCTCCAAAGAAACAGACAAAAAGATACTGATCTTAGCTAGGACTTGCAGAAAACCAACTTTTCTGTATACACGAATGCTTAAGTGACGCATTAAGAAGACCTGGCAGTTTAGGGTTCTGGTTTGGTCCATTGAGCCTATGCCAGCACTGGGCATTTGCCTAGATGAGAAGAATCCAGGACAGGACAGGGGAGATGTGCAAGAGCGGTGACTCAAACCCAGGGTGCCACCCTCCTCACCTCTTCAGCTGGCAAAAGCAAGTGAGGCAAGGCCCAAGGATGCCCAGGCCAAAAGGGATGGAGGGCTTGAGGGCACCACCAGAGTATCCAAAGGTAGGCCAAGTTGTATGGCAACAGCAGGTGGCATAAGATAGGTCAGAGGAGTGCTAACGGGACAGCAATTTTCTCTCTTGCCACAATAGCAAAATGTCCGAGAAGCATTTGAGAAGAGGTGGAAAGCCAGCTATGAAGAGCAGACAGAGCAAAGTATGCAAAGAACCTTCTCAACACAAAAATCTGCCTTTGCCAATGTGGTGCCCTCCAGATGTGCTGGCTGGAGCCGATGGGAGTGACAGTCCCAAGCATCTGGAGAACATGAGGCTAGCGGATACCGACCCACACCACTGCAAAGCCAAACAGAACCACTTTTACATCCCATTGGATTGAATGGGAAACTTTGTTTTTATTCTGCCCTTCCCCTTAACTGAGAGTGGTGTGTACAGTCCTCCCTCTCCATTTATTTATGTCTCTGTGAATTTATGTGTTTATTGCACTTAAATCCGGCCTCTTTTCTTCCAAGGAACTCCAGGTGGGATCCATAGTTCTCTTCCGCATTTAATCCCCGCCACAACCCTGTGAGTTGACGGATAGTGGCTGCCCCAAGGTCAGCCAGAGTCATTCTTCCTGGCCCAGTGGGGATCTGAACCCAGGTCCAACACTCCAGCCACTGGACCACACTGACCACACCCTCTACAGACGGGGGTGAGAGATGGTGCCTGGTCCAAAAACACCCCACCAGCAAAAGGGCTAAGTGGGGATCTGAGCCTTGCTCACTCTGTTCCTAGACCCACACATGATTCCCTACCCCACACCCACTCTCAGTTTAGCAGAAGATGTGATGAAGATGGGAGTGGCACTTGCTTTAGTGCTTAAGGGGCAGCCCTGCTGGTACTACTCAACACATCAAAGAGGGACGGCAAGGATGTGACAAGCTCCCCGTCTTGGAAATTCCTACCCAACCCTTCAATGAAGCAGGCCTTTTGTCGTCAGGGATACAAGAAGTGATGCTTATGTGTTGTGTATTTATAAACTTGG